CATTCTTCACAATTATGGTGCATCTGCTAATTCATCTTCCTCACGAAGCAAGAGTTGGTGGACCAATTTTCTATCGATGGATGTACCCTATAGAGAGGTGTTAATTGAATTACATGTTTCAAATTACTACTGATTATACCTTTTAATAAAATGTATTTACGTATTATGTTGTTTTGTGTATAGGTTCTTGGGCAAGTTAAAGTCTTATTGTCGTAATAAGCGTTATCCTGAAGGATCAATTGCTGAAGGGTATTTGGCAGAGGAATGTATGACATTTTTCTCTAGATATTTGGAAGATGTTGAAACAAGATGGAATAGACCAAATCGAAATGATGTGCTAAGTACTGATGACTTACCTCAACATTATTTGTTTGGAAGTTATGGTCAACCATTAGGGAAAGTTGAAATTGCACACTTAGATGACACGTCTTGGGTACAAGCACACCGATATGTTCTTTTCCATCACGATTCAATAGATCCCTTTCGCACGTAAGTCTTTCGGACCCAAGCTATATGAAATCTCTTAATCTTTTATATATATCAATTTTTAACTACATAATATACTTTATAGTGAGTTTAAAGAAGGCTTGAGATCTCGTGCACGCTCTCGAAGATTAAATCAGCGAGAGCTACATAAGTTATTTACAGAAACTTTTCATGAATGGTTAGGCCAGACGGTAAGCAACTAAATCTTACGGAATACTTATAAAAAATATATGTCTTGCTTTTTATATAGACATCAATGCAAATTAATTCACCATTCATGTGTAATAGGTTTGGAGTGGGAGAGAAGTTAGTGAAGATGTTAAATGGCTTTCTCAAGGTCCGAATATAATAGTTAAAAGATATAATGCCTTCCTCATTAATGGGTTCAGGTTCCACACGAAATCTCATGAAAGATTAAGGAGGACACAAAAATTGTGGAGTCGTAGTTACTTCGTCAACTACAAGTTATGCTACTGTCAGGGACAATAATCCGCAGGAGGAGAGGTCGATTATTATGGAAATCTTACGAAAATTATTGAGTTAGATTATTATGGAAATCTTACGGACATTATTGAGTTAGATTATTATGGAAAACGAAAGGTTGTGTTGTTTTAGTGTGACTGGGTTGATGTAAACAGATGCATAAAAAGAGATAAATTCGGGTTTACAATGGTGAATTTCTCTCGATTAATTCATACGATTCAACATTTGATGGATGAACCATATGTGTTTTCTTCTCAAGTGAAACAAGTATTTTATTGTCACGATCCAATGGATGACGGTTGGTATGTTGTGCTCCGAAATACTCCCAGAGACTTGATAGACAACGGGGATGGAAATAGAGATGAAATTGAAACAAGATCAGAATGTTTACCTCTACTACCACAAAACTTAGATGAAACTATCATAAATACAACACAATTTAAATGGGTTCGGGAGGATGTTGATGAAGATATTTATGACACCTGACATTACATAAGAATGTCGTACGATTTTATATCTTCATTTATAATGTTATAACCTTTAACATGTTGTCTTTCAATATATTCATTAATTAATTCATTTTTTATTACACACGATTGCTTATTACATATATCACGCCGAGGAGAAAAATAACTGATTTGCGGGTCGTTCGAGCTTCTGAAGACCATGAAGAAAGAAATAACGAGGAATCGAATGCACCTGAGTATTCTGAAGTTCCTGAAACTGTTGAAGAAGAAGTAGAAATTCAAGGTAATCTTCGAAACTTTATTTACTACTTTGTTCATTTTCAAAACTGACATTTAATAATTTCTTATATAGTTGAAAATGCTGGAACGCGCAAGACTCGAGGACGTACAACTTTGAAGGAATTATATCAACTTCCTCCTGGGCATCGTGTCAAAGTTTCAAGAAACGATACCGGTCAACCTATTGGCCCAGAAGCAGGTCTTCTAGCAGGTTACTTAGGCATAGTTGGACGTAATGCAAATCTATTACCGATCAATTATGAGTCGTGGCGCGAAATGCCTAATAGTAACAAAAATCAGGCGTTGGATTTTGTTAAGGTAATAATGTCATTATTATTATATACTTTATAGAAATTCAATACTAATGTATACTTACGGTGCACACTTATTTGTTGTATAGGAGAAATTTTCTTTAGAGGTCTCTGAAGATTATGTGAAGCAAGCATTAGGGAAGAGATGAAGGGACCACAAGAACTCCTTAAAGAAGAAATACTTCAAGAATGATCTCAGCCTTGAAGAGAAGCTGCAAACAATCCCACCTGGAATGCTCAGGTACCAATAGGAAGATGCAGTCAGATTTTGGAGTTCACAAAAAGGACTGGTATGATGTATTTTTGACCGAGAGGATGTTGGTGTTGCTAGCAGGCAACATCAAAAGTTTACCCAAACGGCTGGATCGAGAGTTTTGCTTGTATAGCTAATAGGAGACTCATAGATTATTGACATTGTTTTTTGTATTCCATGTACATACTAACTCATAGTAACTATATTATGGTATATTGTAGGAAAATACATCCGGTTCTAAAGTTGGCCGAATCCAACTATTCGACATGACATATACGAAGAAGGATGGCACTCTTATGACTGTTGAAGCTGCATAAATTATGGTACGTTTATTGGGTAGATGTTTCAAATTTACCTGACTTTATTTATATTTGTACTATGAGATTTTTTATTTTAATTAATTATTCACCTTATTATTAGGAAAAATTGAGGGAGAAAAGGGCGGAGTATGATGCTACTGGTTCGAGTCAAGGTCTTGTTAATGATGATGACATTGAAAACCGAGCTATTAATGACGTTTTGGGTCCTGAAAGATATGGCCAGGTGCGTTGTCAAGGATCATTTGTTACTCCCACCAAATATTTTGGATCCAGTTCATCACAGTGCATGTCATCACAATCTCAATCTTCCCAATTAGAAGTTAGTAAGTTGGCTGAGATGGATCAACAAATGGCTAACTTGAAAGTGGAAAATGACGTAAGGGAAGCAGCGGCAGCACAGAGAGAAGCAACATATCAGCAGAGATGTGAAGAATTTGAAAAACGACTCAATGATATGATGCTTATGATATAGAAAACTCAACCTCAAAATCCACCATCATAGTTTCATTTATGTTATCAGCATTCTGTTAATGTTACTGAACCGTGTTTAACTGAACTTATATTACGTTAATGAAAACTTTTATTTATTATATTGGATTTGATGTTGCTTGTTATGGATATAGAGTTTGATGTTATTGCTATCATGTTTGTTGGATAATGGAACAAGTTGAAAAAATAAATTTGGGATAATCGACAATAATTTTTTAATTTGTTAAATTCTGTGTTATTTAGCGGCGTTTGTAACAAAAAAACGCCGCAATATATCATACATTTAACATAGTTTGTATCAAAAAACGCCGCAAAAATAATAACACCTATTGCGGCGTTTTTTGTAACAAACGCCGCTAGTTATCAACCTATAGCGGCGTTTGTGTACTAAAAACGCCGTTATATACCAGACCTTTAGCGGCGTTTGTATCCTAAAAATGTCGATATATACCAGACCTATAGCGGCGTTTGTGTACTAAAAACGCAACTATATACCAGACTTTTAGCGGCGTTTGTATCCTAAAAATGTCGATATATACCAGACCTTTAGCGGCGTTTGTATCCTAAAAACGTGCTATATACCACACCTTTAACGATGTTTGCATCCTAAAAACGCCGCTATATACCAGACCTTTAGAGGCGCTTGTATCCAAAAAACGCCGCTAAATCTCAAAACCTATTGCGGCGGTTGTAAGACAAACGCAAACGCCGCTAAATATCAACACCTATTGCGGCGTTTGTTGAACAAACGCCGCGAACTTTAGCGGCGCTTTTTGCAGCGTTTGTCATAACGCCGCAGGTGTTTTTTGCGGTGCTTAAAAACACCGCTATAGGTAAAAAAAAACCGCAAAAAGGCAGTTTTACTGTAGTGTATGGTGTGTGGAAGATGAGGCAGTAACGTGATTATAATCATGTATTAGTGCTTCTTCCCTCTGTTGTTGTGGCTGAACAACATTTGTGGAATAAATTTAATGTTTTGGATATCTTTTCCAGTTTCACTTTCATTGGCAGCATAACACTTCTGAACTGTATGTCTAACACCACCAAACAGTCGACATTGTGGTCAATTGGAATAACAATCGAGTAACAATACTTTGAGTGCCTCCAAAGACAAGGGGATAGCTGACAGTAGGGAACAAAGTGTAGGTAGACGATCGCGCGGACGACAACGACAAAGTTGATGTTTTGGAATTAATATTTTAGGGGTTGTTTTAGATTTTTGAGAATTTTTTGGATTTTTTTTAAAAATATTAATAATTTTATTTTATTTTAAAATAAAATTTTCAAAAATTTATAATTATACCACATGTCATGTTTTGAATACTTATAGATTTTTTGACGGTTATGTAGACCAAACACTTAAAATATTAACAGAGAAAACGCTAGGCTAAACACCTAAAGTGAATAAAAGATATAGTTTAGGCACTTGTATTTTAATTAAGCCTAGGAAAATGAGAAGAGAAAAAAAGAGAGGTCTTATACAGACGGAGGTGTGAAAATACTCCCAAAGATAGATCCCACAGAAACTAATTGAAAAACACAACTATCTATAGAAAAATGGCAAAAACGATGAGCAGGCGATTGGTAGACTTATACATTTATATGGTAATGCTGGGTGCACGGTTTCAAATTTTCTTTATTTCCATTGTTATCGACTTGGTATTGCGTTACTTGATTCTAGTTCGTATGGGTGCTTAACGAAAGATTATACAGTGAAAAAAGGTGTAAGTACGTATGACTTAATATAGTCAGCTAACTCAAAATCCATGTTCTTGAACAGGAGGTGCTGCAGCTGACCAAAGACTCTTTCTCTAGTTCCATGTCCATTGTAATCGGTGCAAATGGCTACTTTTTTACTTATTTATTTCACTATAAATAACCGAGTACCATCTTCGTTTGAGTTCAAGTTGTAAATCGAAAGTGTCCCTGAATTGCATTGTGGAAATGGAAACTTCAGTGAAGTACATGTGCGTTCTCGCGTTTCTTGTGTGTATGACCATTTCAGGGCTCAATGGAGTCGAGGGAACTGCTGGTTATTATGGTCCGTGTGGGAAACACGACATCGAGAAGGAGGCTGAGAAGTTGGAAGCATGTACGTACGCAGCACAGCATCGGAGAGTCCCGGTTTCCGAGCGTTGTTGCACTGTGATGGAGAAAAAGGTGAAGAATCCAGCATGCCTTTGTGCTGTTCTGTTTTCTCAAACAGCGTACAATGCGGGAGTGAGGCCGGAAATTGCAGTGACCATTCCGAAACGCTGCAACATTGTTGATCGCCCTGTTGGTTACCAGTGTGGAGGTACATTTCGTGAGGCCGGAAATTGCAGTGACCATTCCGAAACGCTGCAACATTGTTGATCGCCCTGTTGGTTACCAGTGTGGAGGTACATTTCGCATTTCACATTACTTTACTCCTTGTGTGGTGTTTGTTTCTATACTCTAATGAAGCTGTTGTTTATTTCTTACAGGTTTCACTCCTTAACTCTGAAATTCCCCATTGTGTGCATCAGCAGTATAAGCATGCTGGATTCATTGTGATATCCAGCATTTTAAGTTAATAAAATCTGTTGATGTATCTTTCAATACCAAGTAAAAAGTGGCGTTGTTTCTTTGAATAATACTATAAAAGGTCCCTTCTCTTTGCAAAATGTGTGCTTCTTGGTTATCGTATCTTTTTTTCCAAATCTATGCTGTGAATAGGCTATAATTGCCTAAATCAACTACTTGATCTCGATCTGTCAATCCGAACATGAATTTATACAAAAATGTCAAGCTCCTTGGGCGGTGATGTTCTCAATGGTTTTTTGGTAACTTTGTGACAATTTTTTTTTTTAAGTCCTCTTTTAGCCACATTCTTCATGTTATTTACTCTATTGTTTCTAGTTAGTGATCATCTTTTTTCATGAGTAGTGCTTTGTAACACCCTAAACTAATACGACACACAATCGACCATTAGGATGCTACACGGAACCATCGAAGTGACAGACCAAAATTTTTCTCATTTCTCTTATTTAAAAGCGACCATTTTACTAACCTTTTTCGTATTAAAATCAATCATAAATATAATTGAAAACTTTACATAGGGGAGCTCCCAAAATAATATTTACATTCAAAAATATACAAACCAACTTAAAATAACTTTAAGGCTCAACTTTACAACAAGGTTTATAAATATACATGCCCTTCAAAAACTTGAGACGTACTCTGATATGCTCTTGATTTGGTCCTCGGTTGCTCTAAGGCTTCCTCGAATGCTCCACCTAATCTACGTAAGGAAACTAATTCCAAAACTAGCTCAATGCCACACTAACAACTAGAACATACTAAAATTGCATCACTTGATTGGTCTTTTGATTCAAATGGTTATTGTGAGCTTGCCTTTCATAATTTGCTTGAGTATGAAACGGGTTGGAGGAAAGTAAATCGAGCTCTTAACTAGTTTGATCAAAGTATACTTGAGGGCAAGTATGAGACAAGTTAGGGAATTTGATGAGTGGTTGCAATTGACACTTTTTACTTGCCAATTCTCTTGCTTATGAACTTTTCAATACTGATTTGGTTGCATTTGGCTTTTTTTGTGCAAAAACCTGTTATTGGAATTGGAAGCAAAGGGCGCGTTCTGCAACTTTTTTATTTTCTGGTGGCGGCTGGAGGCATGGGCACGATGCGGGTCTGACGTGGTAGTTTCTAGAAGGTCTAGTTAGCACGAAGTTTCTAGAAGCAATCCAATCATCATTATCTGGAAGAGGATGGACGAAATTTTTAGTAGTCTAAATTTAAGTTTGAATTAAAAAACACTTGGATTTATCTTTTAAGATTTAGGATTATTTTCATTTTGAATTTCTTGTTATTTTTAGGATTTAGAAGCCTATAAATACCCTCCTTAGGGTATGGCTTAGATATCTCATATCTCTTTATCTTGAATTTTATCTTGTAATTTTCATTCTCTGTTTTATAAAGTTTCTTTTTTTTATTAGTCGAGAGCTAGCGATAACTCAATTCCATATGTGAAAATTTGATGCAGGGGGATCCGAGACAGATGATGCTGAGCTGTCAGATTGCACGTTGATGGCGCTGAGATACCATGAGTTGGCAGATCAGCGCAAAGGCGGGAATTGATTGTGACATGTTCCTCATTGGGGTCGTTTTGAGTATGTTTCAGTCTTTTGGCCATAACTTTGGCTACAGGTGTCAGAATCGCGCATAAGACCCCAATCCGGAAAGCTCTTTTCGACGCGCACGCTCTCCACATTGAGAGGATCGTGAGGCCTCTGACCACGATACCAATTCCACTTTCGAAAACCCATATCACAATCGCGCAGGATTCCGGGGCGCAGGATTCCGGGAGCACCGTGGTCGGGAGGAGCGTCATGGAGACCTCGGTTTTCGGGTCGATCTCCCTGAGTTTTCTGGTACATTACAGGCCGAGGGATTCGTGGATTGGATTAATGAAGTGGAGCGTATTTTTGAATAAGGAAGTCCCCGATCGTGTGAAAGTGAAACTGATCGCCATCAAACTCAAGGGCAGAGCATCTGCGTGGTGGAACAGTTACGACGTTCACGAAAGACAGGGCAAAGCCAAGATCACTGATTGGGAGAAGATGAAAAAGAAGATGAAGGGCCACTTCCTTCCCTTCGGCTACACGCAAACCTTATTTCAGCGACTTCATGCGTTGAGGCAGGGCGCGCGATCAGTCGATGATTACACGGAGGAGTTTTACCAATTGGTCGCCCGGAACGATTTATCTGAGACGGAGGAGCAGATGGTGGCGCGATATTTGGGGGTTTACGCCAGCCCTTGCAAGATGTCCTCAGCCTTCATTCATTGTGGAGTGTTTCGGAAGCATACCAGCGTGCACTTGCTGTTGAAAAACAGCAAAACAGGATACCAGTGATCAGGAGCGATCACAACAGTCGACCAGTTCGCCCTCAAGAGTCCCGTCCTGCTCAGCAGCCACCGCAGGGTAATTCTAACCCTACTATTAGATGTTTTCGTTGTGGTGAACAAGGGCATAGGGCGACTGATTGCAGGAAGCCTGCTAGTTAAAAGGGCAAAAATTTGTTGATGAGGAAAACGTGGAAGACGAGACTGAGGAGATTGGCGAACCCGTGTATGACGATGATGAGACTGATGATGTGCTGTATAGAGATGGTCATGAGACTCTGGTCGTTCGCAAGAGTCTACTTACCCCCAAGGGCGATTCAGGGGACGATTGGTTGAGAACCAATATTTTCCACACGACTTGCACAGTTGCAGATAAGTCTGCAAAATGATCTTGACATCGGCAGTTGTGAGAAGTAGTGTCCGAGGAGGTTGTCCAGAAATTGCAGTTGAAGACGGACCGTCATCCTAAGCCATACAAGTTGTCATGGCTAAATAAAGACAGTGAGGTAACAGTTGATAGGCGATGCCTCGTGTCTTTTTCAATTGGTAGAAAATATTTTGATAATGCCTGGAGTGATGTTGTGTCTATGGATGCGTGTCATATTGTTGGGTCGACCTTGGCAGTATGATCGCAGTGTCATTCATGATGGACGGAAGAATACATATTCCCTTAGCATCAAGGGAAAAAGATTGTGTTGGCACCCCGGCGGGAAGGACTTACTCCTACCCCAGTAACCCATAATACTAATCTGCTTTCTATGTCCAGGTTTTTAGATGAGATTGAGCATGGCGACGTGGTCTATGCCTTGCTACCTTGCGAGAACAATGCAGTAGACGTGGATACAGATTTACCAGTAGAGGTGCAGCGGTTGCTAGAAGAATTCTCTAACTTGATGCCAGAGGATCTTCCTCCTGGACTACCACCTATGAGGGATATTCAGCATCAAATTGACCTTGTTCCTGGGTCAAGTTTGCCAAATCGACCAAATCGCCTCAGTCCCAAGGAGGCCGAAGAGTTGCAGCGACAGGTGGAAGAGTTGTTGGAGAGGGGCTATATCCGAGAGAGTATGAGCCCATGTGCAGTCCCTGCTCTGTTAGTGCCAAAGAAAGATGGTTCTTGGCGTATGTGTGTTGAGCCGAGCGATCAACAGAATTACAGTGAAGTACCGGTTCCAATTCCCCGTCTAGATGATATGTTGGATCAGCTATCTGGTTCTAAGATCTTCTCAAAAATTGACCTTAAGAGCGGTTACCACCAAATCAGAATAAGGCCTGGAGATGAGTGGAAGACGGCGTTTAAAACGCCACAAGGGTGTATGAGTGGATGGTCATGCCTTTTGGGTTATCCAATGCGCCCAGTACATTCATGAGATTTATGCATCAGGTCTTGCGGCCTTTTATGGGGAAATTTGTTGTAGTTTACTTCGATGATATCCTCGTTTATAGTCCGACATGGACTTCACACTTCGATCACCTCCGTGCTGTTTTTGAGATGCTGAAAACGAGTGCTTGTTTGTCAATCAAAAGAAGTGTTCTTTCTTCACTACTTCTGTGACTTTTCTTGGTTTTGTTGTGTCTACTGATGGTGTTCATCCAGATCAGTCAAAGATAGATGCAGTCTTGGAGTGGCCCAGACCAAGAACCTTACATGACATCCGAAGTTTCCATGGCTTGGCGTCTTTTTACCGTCGATTCATTAGAAATTTTAGTACTCTGATCGCCCCTATCACAGAGTGCCTCAAGGGGCTTTCCAGTGGTCTGAGGAGGCAGAGGCCAGTTTTCAACTGGTCAAGCAAAAGATGACCGAGGCTCCAGTTTTGGCACTTCCAGATTTTGACAAAGTGTTCGAGGTAAATTGTGATGCATCTGGCGTTGGCATTGGTGGTGTTCTGAGTCAGGCAGGTCGTCCGGTTGCTTTTTTCAGTGAGAAGCTATCGGGATCAAAGAAAAATTATTCCACTTATGATCTGGAGTTCTATGCCATAGTTCAGTCCCTGAAGCTTGGCGTCACTACCTAGTACAGAAGGAGTTTATTTGTTTACCGATCATGAGGCCTTGAAGTACATCAATGGCCAACAAGCTGAGTAGACGTCATGCCAAGTGGGTAGATACTTGCAAGAATTCACTTTTACGCTGAGGCACCAAGCAGGGAGTTTGAACCGCGTCGCAGATGCCCTGAGCCGTCGTACCTTACTTCTCACCACCATGAGTACTAAAGTTGCAGGATTTGAGACGTTCACAGATATGTATGCAGCTGATCCTTCCTTTGGAAGGATATTTCAGGAGGTAACTGAGGGTCACCGTCATGATTTTGTTTTGCATAATGGGTATCTGTTCGTGGATTACAATTGTGCATTCCAGATTGTTCATTGAGGCAGCAAATTATAAGTGAACTCTATAATGAGGGACACTTTGGCCGAGATAAGACATTGGCCCTTATCTCTTCTGAATTTTATTGGCCCAAGTTGACTAGTGATGTGGCCCATTATGTGGACCGTTGTTATGTGTGCCAGCGGTATAAGGGAGTTCTCACCAATGCGGATTGTACACTCCCTTACCTGTTCCTGAAGCTCCTTGGTTTGATGTCAGCATGGATTTTGTACTAGGCCCCGCACCCAAAGGGCCTCTGATTATCTTTG